CATGCTGCGTGAAACAGGCTTACTGAATGAGGCCTGATGTGGTGGATGTTTTCTTCCTCCACGTTTCTCACAGCCTTTCTCAGGTCATTTGTGGAGCAATTTATGCAGTGTAAGGTTATCTTTGATTCCCACTCTGCTGCACCTTCTGCTCCGGCCATACAGCCTTTAGAAATAGCTGTACTTTAAGAGCATTAACTTTCATAATTGTCTCTCATGAACTTAACGTGGATTGCAAGAAGAATATGATATGCATAAATCCTTTTTCCTGATTTCTCCACATAATAGAGGGTTACCTTGTTTTTCTGTACAGCTGTACTTGCCTAGATTGTCTCCATCTTCTGCTCACCATTCATGAATGTGTTTGACTTTAAGCTTTTGAATAGTAAACAACTCAATTAGCAGATCACGAGCACACACGAGCGTATTTTCCGTTATATCTCACAAAACGTAGTGGAACTACCTCTGCCCATACTTGCGCTTGGGAGTATTAGGTGGGATCAGTCATGCACTCTAAATGGTCTGCTGAATCTAAGTGCCCTTCCCTGTGGCCTCTTTGTTTTAATCTTTGACACCACAACACCATGACTTTTTTTTTCACATGGCAAGTTGACCACATGTGCTTAATCACCTTTCCATTCCTTGTCATATTCCTAACCTGACTTGCCCTTATTTGTCATCGTCCTCACTGTGTGATCTAGGGGATATATGAGGACCGTGTTTGCTAGTGTATGTTTCAGTTCCTCAGCTAGCACTGTTTTAGTAAGGCTTAAGATAGAACTGAAATTCAGTACTGTCTGCAAGCATTTTGCCTTTGTAAAAGCAGCTGTGAAACTCATTCCATGAGTGGCCTTAGAAAACATATAAATCTTTCGTAGGTTTATAAAAGTATGTAAGTCTATCTTTCATAAGTTTTCTGCTATTTTTAATAACCCAAATCTGTCACATACATTGTTGATTCAAAACATGTAGCAAGTACCAAGTGTTCAAAACACTGAGACAATTTATAATCCTCATGTAGACTGCAATAGCGCTAATTAAAAGCATATATGAAAAGTTAGAACTCCTTTTTTGGGAGGAGGTTGGATGTGACATGAAAGTGGTTCAGAAGCCATGGTGAGGCATTAATTGTTGAATTCACAAGAAACTGGAAAGGCTTCATTAAAATTTGTCAGTTTATGCAGAGCAATGCAATTTCAAAGTCATTTCCTGAATTCAGTTAAAAATGTGGAATTGAAAGTGATAGTGTATTCCAAAAGGTTTTGTATAAAATATACTAAATTGGTGTATTAAGTTTTATGAATTAAGAAGGAAGACTGAAGTTAAATTGCAAACACCAGTACTGTGCCCAATTAAATGAATTACTGTTACAGTAAATGTATGTAATATTTGATTACATAAATATGAGCTTAAATTTAAGATCAGTCCTTTCAATGTGATGGTCAGTGATAGATATCGGTAAAAAGCAAGCCAAAAAAAGCAGCCTATGTGTTAGACTATTACCCTCTATAAAAGACTATAATTCCCAGCAGCAGTACCCTGAATACTCCAGGGAAGAGTATCATAGATTCTCTTTCTTTTTAGCTCATAGTGCTTTCTAAGCAACATTAGATATTGTTAGTATTTCTTATACTTCAGTCTTACAAGAAAGAGTACATTTTTAGTCATCCGTTATTTTAATCGTTAGTGCCACATTGTAAGAACCTCACAGATAGGTCGCTATATATAAAAGCTTAACAGAATACATTCACTAAGCAAGAAATACTCTGTAATAAATCCTCTGTCTTAGAGGTTCCAACATTGTAACAATGCTCCTTTTATGTTTTGTTTAAGCTGATCTATATGCGCAGCTGTAAATTCTTGTTAAAAGATTATTTTTCTGAAAGCCTTAGTAATTAATGGCATTCCCTAGCCATCACTTGCAAAAGCTGCAAAGAGGATTCGTACTGAAGATGTCCAAAATTCAAGTTTTCAAAAGACTTGTACATCAGTCAGCACCTTATATCCACATTAAACACAAATGCTTTAGAGAGCTCAGGGATGTAACAGACCATATCTACATACGCATACTCCACCTACCTTACTAGAATCTCATTAGGTGGTATTAATCCCTTAGAAGCTACATTGTTTTAGCTAATGCCACTAAGCTAAGGTTTGCTTAATCGCTGGTGTATTGCTTGTTCAGCATCTACAAATAGCACTTCATTTTGTGGTTTTGTGTTCCACACCGTTTTTAGGGTCAGTACTGTTGAGACTGTTAGTAGGAATTTGAATGCTGAAAACGGGGTTCTAGAGCTTAGCAACTAAATAGGTGGTAGTGATGATATAGATTCCTGTTAGTCTTAAACTGCTGTACTTCTCTTTCATTTATACTTACATAATGTGGACCTGACATATACTGAAAGAGGTCTTCCTTGATGATTTTTAGCTAATGAATTGCTAACAGTTTTCACAGTCAGCAGGGGAATCCCTCATTCTCTTAAATACCAAAGTCTTTGATATAAGAGCCACGTTTCTTAACAATTTATCTAAACTCTAAAGCAATGTAATCCCACTACTGACTGGACTGAAGTCCTGCTATTGTAGTTATATGTCACTATGCATAATAAAAATATTAAAATGTAATTAATGTGGGGAAAAAAACTTCACCCTAATTCAAATCAAAGAGTTAGGCAGTGAAGGCGCTGGCCTTCTCAGTAGGTGAATTATTGCAGATATTAAAAGGTGGAACCAACTACTTTCATTTTTGATATGTAGATTGAAGACTGTAGAAAGAAAGTTATCATGAATTTCACATAGATTGGAATGTGTCCACACAACGCTCAGAGTGTGGCAGGAAATTTTTCAGAAGAACAAGTATGCGCCTCGTATGAGCTGTCTTCTGAAATAAGTTCCATGTGCTTTAACATAAGATTTATGAGTGACTTAAAATATGAACACAGACTATTCTTAAAATACGTCATGTGGGCATATGTTGTCCTACACAAGGCTGTAGTAGTTTTCTTCTGCAAGAGTTCAGGCCTCTCAAACTCCTTCTGAAGGGCAGTGCTGAATAAGGTCTAGTCTACAGAGTGATAGTCAGAGAACTTACTTTTTTGAGCTGGATTAGTTACACTGCATTAAGCTGGGTAGACTCTCATTCAGAATCAAAGTAACCTTCATTCAGTTTAGTTTTTTTCACTTTCAAAATAAATTAAAGCAAATAAAAACTATGTCAGTTCTGCAAAGTATAACTCTGCAAAGGAGCTACATATAGTTCCAGTGCAATTTTACTAATCTACACTGAATTCAGAGCTTAACTTCACATTTAGTTTGCCTCGAAGTCATGAGGATATAAGCAGAAGCGGGCTGGGGAAATTTTAGTAGCTGGTGATGAGCACTGAACCACCCACCATAGAAGTTCAATCAACCTTTAGCTTCCTCTACAAAGCATAGACAAATGAGATATTTATTTCTTTTATAACAATCAAAACTCATCTCTGAAAAGAAGCGTATATATCAGACACAGCATACCCGAATTTCTCTGCTACGTTTCCTGGTATAGCTTCACTTAGTAGGTGCATTTATTATTAAAATCTATGCCTTCCTTAGCAAGGCAAGGTGGATAAGGAGAAGGGACATTAATTTTAGACAAACTGATATAGCTGGGGTAATAAAGACAAGCAAGAAGTGGGGAAAATGATAGTAAATTACTAGTACTGATGCTCAATGGGAAAAGTTCTGTGCCATTCGGGAGCACTTTGTGGTCTGTGTACCTCAGTCACTTGGTTGCTTTTGGGAAAAACTCGAAATGATTTTGGTCTGAGCAGAGCTAAATTGCTCCTGCTCGGTATTCCTCCCATCACTAATTTATATTAATATTCTACATCCATTTAAGAGGAAAAGATGTGCCTGAAAGTTATTTGTGTCCTTGAATGTAATTGACTGTGAGTGTTCTATAATTTACAGTAATATAAGATACTGTTGATGTCTCTCAGGATATTCTCTCATCAGCCAGTGTGGATTTTTCAACTCTGTGAGCTGCTTAGAATAATATCATTAATCTAACTAGGTGACTGCAATATACTGGATAATCCTGCTTGATGAAGAGCTGTTCTCTGAGATCGGTGGGAAGAATGTTTTGTACAGGATAATAGTCAGTAGAATGTCTGGAAAGGAGTAGTAATAATACAGCTGAGAAGTAGCAGGTGTGAAGAATAGCTTTTCTAAAACACAGCCTTAGTCAGAGCTCTGCAGATGAGGTTGTCAGTTCTTTTATATTTCCTCATTAAAATTCTGTGATTTGGTGAAGGATTCACTATAGGCTCTTGGGCCTATCTTGGTACAGTAGAACAGAAAAGAAGCTAGTTGCAAGCTACCTATCTGATTGGCATAGCGCTTCCAAACCCAGAATATAGAATGTCCTACAAAAAAATGTATAACTTCAGTTCTTCATCTTCATCTTTTGTACATGAAGGAAAGCAAATACCATGGAGTCTTTGTGTTAGGGAAATGCCCTGGCTATTATCATAGTTATATGTTCACTAGTATCACTGCACTCATACAAATTCTTCCTGTAGACAGATGGGCTGCAAATTGCAGAAGTGTAGCATATCCATGTTTAAGCACGGGAAAAGCAAGAGTACTGAAAATCCCAGTTTATCCTAGTTTATGCTGTCAGAAAAAAGGCTTGTTGTATCAAAACTACAAAACTGGCTGACCTCTGTGACATCACTGGTCACAGAAACTTTGGTCAGAAGGCCCATGTCTATTTTAACTTCAATGAGACTAAGCATATGAGCACAGCCTATTCATACAGCTAAAGACTGCAGGATGAGAACTTTAGAGGGAAGCTCTTCGTTAGAGGGGAAAACCTTGCCTCATTTGAATTAAAGAGAATTTTGCCCTTAATGTGTCTCCCAATGCCATGTGAATCTCTAATTAATGTTGTAAACCACCTTACTGCCATGTTTTATTTATCGGGGATGATTAACAATATCTTCATTCCATATTATTTATTTCAGGTTACCAGAATAACACCAATGTTAACTTGTCAAGTATCAGAGGAGCATCAGAAGAAACAGATCTTTGTTTGGAAACAGGGGTAGTTTCTGAAACATTAGAAACTAACCGACGATCAGCGTTGGTGCTTCCAGCTAGGATATCATGTGAAGTAAGCTTTTGGGATGGTAAAATCTGTGGGATAACACTTTTCATCTACTCTCCCTGCTATAATCTCATTCATACTCTGTCCATTTTGGGAACAAATCACAAATGAGGAGCCAAAATGAGAGTGCATCTAGGCTGCGGTGAGATGTATTTTGCCTTCCTTTCACATCCATACTGCAGCCAAAAGATTTGCAAATAAAATAGATTTGAGACAGCTTCTGAAGGATTTTATCTCTATTAAAATTTTTTGGCAGTTTGGGGTAGAGATATTACTGTCATTGGGACTTCAGAGGGAGCATGAAGGCAGGGACTTCTCAAGAGATGTGAAGTGTCTCTTGGGAAGAACCAGTGATGGGTGTATTGGTACCTGCATGCTTGTCTGAGTTAAAGAGTGCTTGTGTGCATGCACCTGGTGTAATTTTAAGTTGAAATCAGAAATATTTGTATATGCATATCTGCATGCATTTCCAATGAACACAGATGTTCATATGTGTTTATTTTTAATCAGGGTTGCTGTGAGAAAATATGTAAGAATGTAAACAGAAGTAGTACAATAGCCAGTGCTACACTCCTTTACATACATAGTGAATAGGCATAGTCAGATATGAAGGTTGCCATGTACATGGAAATGTCACGTATTTGTCAGTAGCCCATTCCATATGTCAGGCCTTGTTGATAGATTGTCAGCTGAATAACAAAAGACATGATATATTTTGACCTGTTTTGCTCTCTTACAATACAGGTTGAGTTCTCTATAAATTACTCAAAAGCCTGAAGGCTTTCAAAGAGAGTTGCAACTGGCCATCTTTAAAACAAATATAATCTAGAAAAATGCTATTAACTCTGGTAGAAATCTGCGTTATGGAGATTGAAATAGTATTATAAAGGATAGAGTCTTATTAGAGAATTGTAACTCATGGATTAAATCTCTTTCTTCTGCTCATCAAAGATTAGAGTTTCTCCGGTGGCATAAGTGTATATTTTTTCCACTGAAAATCAATAGAAGTGCCACATAGCAACAACCTAAATTCAAAGGGGAAATAAACAGAACAAAATTGTAGGTCAGTATGTCAATGTAAATCACTACAATTTAAACCACTGTCACTTGTACTTGGAGATGTTGAAGTGTGAACCTAAAAAGGGAGAACAAATAACAGGCATAAGAAAATGCTTCATCCTATAACTTCTTGCTAGTTCTTTTTCTGCCTCAGTCTACCTAAGACGACTTTATAAAATTGTCTTTCAGAGATGACTTATACCCATTATTTCCTTGTTGAGACTGTTGAAGTTCTAAGGGAGTATAATTCCCTCTGGTTCAGAAGGCAATAGAGCGTTATGGCCTCCCTTTACTCACTGTTTCTGTGTCACTTTACTGTGACACAGTCACTTTTTTGTGTTCACTGTAAGAATTTAAGTGAGTCTAAAGTATCCTAGGTTCTTATTACGCCAGATGTCTTTTTTCTAGACTATAAAGTAAAATGGTCTTAGAAAAAGTAATCATACATCTACATATGTCTTTTAAGTACTCTTTTAAAATATTATTATGTAAGCTGAATTCAAAATGCTACATATTATAATGTGTTATATGAAGCTATTGTTAAAAGAACTTTCTGTTCAATGTGTGTTTTAATTTGCGTTTTAACTTTCAGTATTATTGAGTGAAGGACTAATGGAAACCTATTTTGATTTTATAGAACCCTGGTGAAATATTCATTTTGTTGAAAGATGAAGTAGATGATGAAACTTTAGAAATTGAATTCATAGCCGACGATCAAAGAATTAGGACACAGCCAGCCCCTTGGAATCAGAAGGTCAAGTACATGAAAGCCTTAGGTAAGAGACAATTTCTTTACCTTTAAGTAAACAGGAAATGTTGGTCTCCCTTCGCTTTTTCTGATAAGTAGTTTCACTTCCCACTAGACTCTAATATTACTTTATAGGTGTTTCCTGTACATGGGTTTTGCATACAGAACATTTCTTTTATTAATAATGCAGAGAATGATTTATGGGAAACTAAGTTGTGTTAGATTGTTTTTGTGTGGTTAAATGGCAGGTGGCAGTCTTAAAATGTCATTGATTAGTCACAGATTAGCATTCTTCAAAATTACTGCCATAAAATGCAAAGCTAATATTCTTTTCTTATTACTGTCTTACTAAGATGTTTCATTTTATATCTAATGCAGTAAATTTGGTTATACTCCTCTCTATAATTCTTACTGACACAGGAAATCATTTTTCTTTATTTTTTCTTTCTTAAGATTTTAAAAATATTGCAATACAACAGTAGATAGGGGGAAAAAATGTATGCTGAAGTTTTGAACTAGGGCTTCTTGGAGCTACCTTTGGGTGACTCAAGTGTGTGACCTGATTTTCATCCTGAACGCTGTCCATGCGTCCTGAGAGCTGTTTAGTATTGTGAGAGTTGTTTAGTATTCTGTAGTTCGGCCCTTTTATGTTTTCAGGGTTGCGCACTTGGGTCCTTCTTTTGTAGAGAGAGTTAGAATCTTTAAAAAAAACTGTGCTAGTGCTGGTATGCTACAGCAGGATTCCTGGCATGATGAATACTAATGAATTATAAAATATGCTCATAAAGAGGGCTCACACTGCATACTCAGAGCAACTCATGCTTAAGTAACAGACTGTACAAATGCCTCTTTCCTTAGCTTTTGCTAGGTAAACAACTGGAATGGCAGTAATTATACTGCAGTCTAGTTCAGATCCAATTTTGAGAACCTTGCCTACAATTAAGAAAATATTTCAAAAGAAAAGTATCAGTTCTGCAGTTTGTAATAAATGAACCTTTCGTTAATTTGTAGGCATAAGGGAGCTGATTATAGGTCATTAGTCCATCAGCAAGATGTTTGAAATGTGAAGCATACTGTTTTCATCACTTTTCTAACTTGAAGGAGTACAGTGGCTTTGTTTTGTAAGGGTTTACAGAGATATATTCTCTTTTGTCAGTTTTTGAATGTTAAACTGAAAGACCTGGATAAAAGCCTGACTTCACTGAATCATTTGTGAAATGCAAATCCTGTTCATCACCTCTATGCATTTTCTGTGATATTTTCCTCTGTTCTTTTACTCATTCCTGGAGACCTCTGGTCTGGGACTGTGAAATATTTTCAGCTACTGTTCTGATTTGTGTTTTGTAAGATTTTCCTCCTGGCCCTGTATATGTAAATGTCTACTGCGGGGGAGTCATTAAGGCCACAGCACAGATCGAATACTATACTGCACTAGAGGAGATTGAGAATGTTCTCAAAAAAGTGGCTGACCCAATAGCTTTTGCTTGTCAGGTAAGTTGACCTCTGCATTAAGTTAATATGAAATGAAGAGTGTAAGTGCCAATATGAGCTAAGGCAACATGCACTGTGCTGTAAAGACTATATTTTGATTGCATAGTAATGAGTAATGGCTCAATAGTAGGCTCAGGATTAGAGGCCTGTCTTTGAGATGTCTAGTTGTAAGCAAATCAGACAAGTGAAAACAAATTTTCTCTCTTTTTTGTTTTTGCTGTTGTTTAGACAGTATACCCAAAGGATAACATCCTGCATTACAGAGGATGAAAATAATAACAAATAATAGTACTTAAAACTACCCCTCTCTCCATTAAAAGTATTCTTCTGAGTGTGTTCTAAAACCAATAGAAACAAGTAATTTTAAATCACATTGTATTTAGAGGATTATTATTAATTCACCAATAAACAGATTTTTTGTGGCATAATTTATATGGAAAACATTAGGTTGCTATTCATATAGAGTCTGTATACAGCTGCTGAATTATCATTCATGTGGTTTGCTGGTTGCCATGCAGATTCTTTGCATATGTTTGGAAGAATTCAGGTTTTGAAGCTGGGCTTCAAATCAGCACGGCAGACTGCAGTGCTCTGCAGCATCTCCTTTGCTAATGGCACATACAAAATAATAAGAAAAGAAAGCATATATTAACAAAGGATGAAATCTTAGGTATCATTTGTTCAATGGTGGGTAGCTCGAGTAGACTTGACATGATGTCTATATTGTAATTGCAAAGTCAGAACACAAATAATAGTCTGTTTTTCCAATGCAGACAGCCTCATTTTCTTGTGACAAATCTACCTTATCTACCACCTAAGGCATTACACTCATAACGAAAGGATTAATAAAAAATGATGTATTGCATTATTAGTATTCTGTTAAGGATCGGAGTAGATTCCCTCCACATACAATTCATTTCATTTCTAAGAAAACAGGCTTGTTGCACAATAAAAATAGTGTAACTCTAAGTACAAGTGCATTCTTAAAATCTTTATAGCATCTATCATTCTGTAAGCTGTAGATTAAAGGACATTGAAATTGAGCTTTCTACAGAAGTGATTTAAAATTTTATGCTTAAGTGTGTCATAATGACTTAAAAATTATAATTAACATGATAACCTAGATACCTACAGCACACCTGATATTCCCGCTGGAGATTTATTTGTGTCATTCAGGAGTTTGACCCTTCGTTTAACCAGCGTGACTAATATTTAGTAAGATCCATGCAATTCAAATTATATTCAAATATAAAAATAATTCTATGCAGAGCAGTAGTGCACACTAGGAAATACAGCTGCAGTGTGGTATTTTTAACAATTTTCTCACCTTTTCTCATCTGTATTATAAGCAGGGGCTTAAATGAGGATACACTGTATGCCTGGCTCTTAATTTTACTTGTTTTGGCAACTGAAAAATTAATGCTGAGAAAAGTTTTATAATCAAGTGGTACAATCCAGACAATATCAGGGCTGTTCTGTGGGAAAGGGTATTAGTGGTAATTCATTTGTATGTGTGTTTATGTGCTGGCAGATTTGTCATTGCATTTAATTGTACCTATTGGGCCTTGGTGTGAGGTAGATTCACTGGCTAGGTAGTTGAACTATTTCTTCATACTTTTTAAAACTTTTGAACACTCATGTAAATATGATTTAATGGCAGTAAGATACATAGTAAAGTTGCAATTTACAGAACATGATTTGACTTAATCTTGAAAAGCGTAGTCACGCAAGGGAAAACAAAACAGCCTTGATCTAATTAGAATTCCCATCAAGTAGCAGGAGTAGTAGTAACTTTTATTTAACCAGGATAATTAAAACCTTTGAGACTATCAACTTATTTGCAAAAGTATCCTGAGGCAAGAGTGGTTTATCTATGCATAGTAACAATCAAACACAATGGAAAACAAAATTAAGATAAAATAGAAAAGCTTACAGCAATTATTAATCAAAGCAGTAACGTTCTGTCGTTTAAAGAAAAGTTTAAGAGTTTCACAAATGTTTGCAAGCTGAGAAGTAGCTCCTTATTAAAATTTTGTGATGAAAGCCAATTACTACACTTAATGCATACCAAAGATACAATGCTTGGGTAAAACACTTTTTTATTATTGTGCATTGTATTGCTGACCTTTCCAATTACTTTAAGTTAGTATCAACAATGAGATTATTTTCCCTTTCTCCCCTGCCTCCCCAGTCAGTAAACCCAAACAAACAAAAAAACCCAATGATTAGGCTTATAGCCACCTGTTCCTGACAGCCAGATCAAGGGGGACTAACAAAATATACCACTGTTGTACCAATTGGATTCCTCTTTTTAGACAGGAATTGAAGGTTAACACCAGCTCAATTGTTAGATTAAACATACTTTAACTTTAAGATTATTACAAATCATGTTTTCGAATGAAATTCTTTGCCACATGTGCTCCATTATATTCTGTTTCCCGTATTTGTCTGAATTTTTGAAAACATTTACCAACATTAGCAAGACATTTCTAACAACCCAATAAATATTTAAAATGTAAGAAAATAAGTAAAATAAAAAGTGAAACAAAGTTCATTGTAAAATTTTTAAAAGAAAACAATATGACATTTTATATTAGTGTGGAAATCACACTTACTACATCATTATGCTGAATGTACTTGCTATCAGAACGTATGAGATAGGACGGAAGTTAAAGGCCATGAATTTTTTGTTCTCTCACTTTCGTATAATTCTGCTTTAAGTAAATTATCTTAAGGTTTTTGTGTTCTTATAGTAACCCTGCGTACAGACCTGATCATAAGGTCCTTGTAATTTATTATTAAACTTTTTCATATTTCATTTTTTACTCTTCATCAACAGCATTCTGGTGGTTTTATATTGTGTATTGATTTTTCTCTCTGACTTTCGACCAAACACAAGTATTGATTCAAATATTTAGTGCTGAGGTTTTCTGGGTACAGATTTCATAGGTTTTTTTAAAAAAAAGACGGAAACAGCCATTATCATTACTGAAACTGAGATTCATGTTAATTTGAGTGACTCAGAGTATCTAGAGAGTTTTAGAAATCTTTCTGACAACTTTGGTTGAATAATATTCCTGTGATTCTGAGAGACTTGATCCATCAAAAGATGTTTTTATCATAGTCATCAAACAGGAGTCCAGTTACAGTATATATTAAAAAAAGAAGAATAAAAATAAACTGCAATCTTTCTATGCAAACTTGTAAGAAATGGCTGTATGTCTTATGCAGTGATCGTATGTATGTGCCTTAACTTGATCCCCTAAGATATTTCCCTTGAAACTATTTTAAATGATTTTCAATCTTCTAAGTCATATCAGCAACTGTTATTTTAAAATATTTCTTTCTTTCCCTCTAAATAGGAAATCTTTCCATATTCCATCAGTGGGTGAAATTGTCAGAAACGCCTATGATTTTTAAGCCTTGACCCCTTCTCTTTGTCAGAGGTGATCTAGGTACTTAGGTGCATATAAAGTAGTGTCTGATATGTAAGAACTACTGAAGTAGTTCATCTTTTTGTAAATATGACCTTGTTAATAAATCTGAAACCAGTGAGAAATATGTTAATTTACTGGCTGTGTACGCTGTGTTTCACTGGCCCACATATTCAGGGTTTTGTTAACAGTTATTAAAGAAGGTAGGTCATGATTCACAGAAGTACCAAAGCATGTGCTTGGTCTTTTCCTTTTTTAAGAATGTTTTCAGAAGCCCAGGTGTGATGGACATCACTCAGGGCATCTCTGTTGTTCCCAGCTGTTTCCTATTGCTTAGGGGGAGCAGAGGGGAGATAGAGATGCAGAGAGTGCCATCACCTGGGGAGGTACTGAGCAAGGACAAGCTTCTGGAGGCTGGACTTAGGGCATATAGTAGCTCTTGCAGAAGGGCTGAGACTGTAGGGAGGAGCAGGGAACAGCCGGTTGTGCCTCAGAGGGCCTGGGAAGAGCTGCTTGGAAACTTGCTGAGTTAATTGTGAATGAGTCCTAGAAAGAAGAGCTTGCCTACAAGGAGAAAGTAGTGCTTTTACTTCTTTTTTGTCGTGTTTTAACTTTTTAATTCTTTATTCACCTTTCTTGAAGCTTAGGCTTCCCTTATAATGTGCTTAGCTTTAAGTGCAATCCTACTTCTTTTGGCTTTGGGGAGGCTTCATCAGGATCTTTAGGTGCATAGTGTTGGTGGCGTTTCTCAGGAAATGCTGTAGAAGCTGGCATGAGGTATATCAAAATATGCAAATGCAGTGTTTCTGGAGTCTGTGAGTGCTCTGGAGCAGGAATAAAAGGAATGGGTAGTGGAGTTTAAGTCCCTAATCTGAATTCCTAAGTGGGGGAGATGACCTTTATGTTGGTGTGGAGCTAGCTGGATAGCATTGAATAGTCATATTGCTACTTCTGTTTCACTGCTATTTCTTCTAGTATCTTCACATAACTAATGGAACAGAAATCAGCATTGTTTTTAGACCCTCCTATATGTGACATGGAAGGCATTAACATAGCTTTATATATATATATATAAAGCTATGTATGTAAACTAATTTTTCTTACAAAGCCTTTGTTGTAGAGTAGCAGAGCAAAGCTAGTTGTTATGAGTGGTTAACAAGATAACTTATTAAATCGTGGCTTGAGCCTTCAGACTTCAGATACCTGGAGGAAGAGACAAAATTTGAGGGAAAAACTTAAAATTGCACTGTGACAACTGTATCCAAGAGGCGTTATGCCTGACTTTGATGTTAAAAGAATGGAGAGGCAGGTCAATGGAAGACAGACCTGTTAAAGCGTGGAAAGTTTAGCTCCAATACCATCTGCTGCCTTTGGAAGGCTGGTCAGTCTAACTCCTGCCTTGGCAGCTTGTAGCAACTGAGCCAACTTGATGTGGCAGAGATTAAGCCATGCAAAGTTTTAGGGCGTTAAGAGTTTTGCTGCAAGTTCCTCAAGTTGTGCACCCTCTTCAACATGGGAACTTGCTCCATTTCAAACAAAGAAACGTTGCTTTATCCTCTGTAAGCGTGGTTGTTTGAGTGTAATGTAAGAGCTATATGCTCTTAAGCTACTCCTCCCCCCCAGATTTCTGGCTGAATAAAAGAGGAAAGGAAGGATCATGGCTCTGCTCATATTTAAAGCAGAGGAGCCTTGCCTGCAAGGTTACCTTGAATACTTTCTTAAGGGGGACTGCAGGGTCTTTATTTGGCTTTTGTTACACAAGACAGCCTGAAATGGACTCTGTCTGGAACTGCTTCTCAGGCATTTCGGGATAGATAATAAGAGAGATGTTTTCTCTAGCTGCAGATAGAGAGCTAGGTAGCTTGCAAAATGTTTAAGGTGCGTCCCTGCTGTTTTCTTAGGGTTTAAGAGAGGACTACAGTTTTCTTCTGTGCTCCAGACACATGCCATGGAAAACACAGAATATAAATATGAGGGAATTAAAATGTAACTTCAGATCAGATTTATCTAGAAGCCCACCTATATATAGTATATATGTCTGTGTGTATGTGTCTCTGTGTGTGTGTGTATATATATACATACACATATGTATTTCCTGTCTGTAAAGTGGAATTTCTACTATACTGTTGCTACTGTGTCCCTCAGTGAATACCAGTGGTTTTGAGCCACTTTTTGCCTGGTGTTAACTTCTGCATATGCACTCATCTGAGCTAGTGTTATACCTTATTTTATGTCCTGCTCTAGGCTGAACCCTATTAAGATGGTACCAATGACAATACCATGCTTAAGAAAACCTTCTTGGGATAAGGAAGAATAATATGGTCTCCTAATTGGATTCTAATATTTTTCCTCTTAGTAATATTTTAATTTCTTGTGGCTAATTACTTCATGTTAATAATTTTTTGATAGATATTAAGTTCAGGGTAGGGGGAAGGGAGCAGGCTGCATATCCTTTCTCCGTTCACTCTGTAAACCTGGTATACGGATTATATCTCTATTTTAGAACATGCCTTTAAAGTATTTTTCTACAAAGAGTGCTTTAGTTATTGAGAACTAAAAAATATATTCAAATTATTGAATAACATACAGAGAATATTTAATGTGGCAGTGCAGAAAGGGTAAATTATGGAAAAAATAGGTCTCTCAATTTATTAAATATAACACTTAATATGTATGATAATCAAAATTGGAAGGGCAAGTGATAATTATGGGAAAAATAATCATATTTTATTACTGCTAGCTCCCCTGCTGCACAACCTTGTCTTCAAATTTCCAGGTCATTCCCACAGAACTCAGTGAAACTCTATCCTGTCTGTGTATCCAGCTTTATTTCTGACTGCATCATACTCACTATTATTTTCTTATTCACTTGTAATAGCCTCAGAAACTAAACTACATGTTTCCTCAGTAGGAACCCCTGTCCTTTTCTCCTCACTATGCCTGTCACAGGGTTTGGGTTTTTTTGTTTGTTTGTTTTTTCTTCTTAAGTTTACGTGCTAAATGTGTCTGCATATATCTCTGTTAGCTATCTAAGAGCTGTTCCAACAAGCAGCAGTTGAGTTACGGGAAGACAAATTTCAGTGCATGGTTGCTGTCATCTGAGCAGAGCATACTAGCTCCTTGTGAGTGCTCCCCTCCTGTGGCTGAGCTGCTTTTGGTGCCCAAAGCCTTTCTACCTACAGGCAGTGCAGTGCGGACTGGCCTAGCTCTGTAGTACTCAATGTAAAGTATCTTCAGTGTTCAAATCCCTGTAGTCATACTTCTCTTCTCACATCAAGAGAAGGAGAGCTTAATTATGGTTACTTTGAGAGTCATTAGGAATAGATCTTGGCCTTCTGTCCAGAGAGAATTAGGCAATCAAATAACTATCTCACTACAGTCTGTGGGGTTTTTCCTTGTCTAAAGAATATGTATTTGGTAGGGAAGCTCATCTAACTGGTTGCATGCTATCCGTTTCTTAATCTGCCAGTTGATGTTAGACTATGGCTGATGCAACTGAAGTTTGTTTCCTGTCTAGTATAGTATGCAACCATAACGTAAAGGTTTCAGGTAACAGAGAACTACTAAATTCTTTAAGATCATCCTAGATTACTGCTGTAATTGCACCTTGGTTTCATTGGTACCTGGTATTTGTCAGAACAGCTCCTGGCTATTAAACTACATTGTCATAGCTAAATCAACAGTAGAGAAGTACAAATATTCCTGTCCTTACCTTTCCTTCAGAAATTCTCAGTCATGGCTGAACGTTGCTGTAATACCTGTTTCTCTTCAGTTGGGTCTTAATATCATGATCCTTCTATATCAGGCTACTTTTAGCATATTACTACTTTTTTATGGCTTTCAAAATATATACTGATCCTACTAAGAGCAAGTTTGTACTCATTGCATTTGAATAATTTGATTCACTAGAACAAACTTATGGAATAAAAATGTAACAAATGCTCGTGCTCTCTCTCTCTAAAACAGACTTTTAAGGTCTGTTCTGCAGAGAAGATGGACAATGTTTTGACTCTGTTACTGAAAAGCAAGATGTCTGCTTCTGAATTCAGCACATTCCAAAGTGAAGAAGAGCACCATCAACAAGCTAGTGAGTACTTTCTTGTATGCACTGATTAATAAGAAAAGCTTTAAATGTTTAAATTAAGGATGTTAGTGAAATGTGGGAATTCATAGTAAAGACACTGTAATGAGGAAAAACAAAGAGAGGGGGAAAAAAATTAACCATTACTTCATGAGTCAGTATTAAGTATTTATATTGTTTGGGTGTTGGATCTGTTTTGGATTAATTGCAAATTGACAGCTCTGCACCTGTCCAAATCTATGTTTATGAAGAAAATAGGCAATAAGAGACATGATTAATAAAGAGAAGCCTATGCATTATATTTTTTACTAATTGCTCTTCAGCAATACAGTTTACACTTCATTTTCCTGAAATGTTTGATGAAGCAATCCAAAAAGTGAAAGACTTCCACATCTGAAGGGAATGAATGGCTTTTGAACTTGGAAAGCAGTAAGCATCTCTATTCATTTTAGTAACTGTGAGCTTAATAGTTTACTTTTTTCTGACCAAAAGGTAATTATATTTAAAATCCCAGTGAGTTAAGACAGGATTTGGCTATAAAATAGAAATAGACACACCATATGTGCAATTCACTAGGTTATAAACAGAAGCTACTGTCTAATGCCAAATGCAGAGTCCTGGTTGAATTCAGTTAACCATTTATTAAGGATGCAAATTTTTATTGCAGTAAACTGAAAATATGGTTTAGTTTATACTTTAAAAACATCATTATGATATTACTTTGGGCGTGTGTTATACCACAGCTTTTCCACAAGACTTGTAAAAGAAAACAAAAGCCAATAAAATTGATGTTTCTCTTTTGAAATAACTAAATATAGCAAGTTTGTATGGTAATGAGAAATAAGTGTTATATTAAATTTGAATATAGTGAGTTTATTTTTCTTAAAATCATAGTGCGTGTGCACAAAACAGGAGAGAGCCAACTCGAACATTACTTTCTCTTTCTTAGTCATCTCTTCTTTAATCACAGTCATGCTTCCTTTCATTTCAATTAAGGTCTGTCTAATAATGAAATTCACCTCTTTGTACTAGAGAAATATGATTCCAATACTCTTCAGTTGTATAAATGCAGTTAAATATGACTCTACATTGGTGGAAACCAACCAGCAGGATGTTAAGTGAGGCACTTGTCCCTGCCAGATTACTGTGCAAAACTGCAGAATGGGAACGTATAGTATGTCAGTTCATCATTCCTAATGTAAAAAGCTTATTCTGGTGAGCAAAAGATTTTTTTACTTTTCTAGTAATTGCTTGGATCTGGGCACATTATTTGAATAGCGAGAATAACTTTTACCAACCCACCACCCCTCCCAAAAAGGGCCATGCAGTTCAAGAGCAAGTTGGCTGTTTGTGAGCTCGAGTCAAATGGTTTTGACCTTCCCAAAATGAACTGCTTTAATGTAACTTGCAACAAGAAAGTATGAAGTTCGATATTCAAATCCTACCTAGAAGAAGGATGTAGTTGCAGAACTGGAAGTACTCAGAATATGGGGTGCCCAGGTTCTTATCTGCCTTCTGCCTGAAGGATATGTAAACCCATGTCTTTGACACCCTATAAAAGCATCCCAGACAGGCACTAGACAGGTCTATTAGTGGACTAGCATCTTTTTTCAGCCATTTTGTATTGTTTTATTCCAAGCACTATTTTTTGTCAAAGAGAAAACATTGAAGAATGAAAACTAATAAAATAGTTTTAAGGGAAATAAAGCTATCAGACAAAAAGTTATTTAGCAGTGAGATTAATTACTTCTGTATTTTTCAAAGGGCAGATGAATCAGCCCTAATTTCATAATTCTATATCTGTTGCTTTTTTCCTAGTGGTCAAAATAGGCTGGCTTGTGCCAGAATTGCTGTTATCTGTTTCCAGGGGGAATGCTGGCACTTTGCACTGAAAGGTGCTTGGTTGAAATAGAGACACACTGATATATTAATGTGTAAATTAATACTGATATCAGTACTTTGACTTTTCAGTGACTATGCATATGTGATTCTATAAGATTCTTGCCCATTTCCAAACTTTGCTTCTAAAGACTTAAAAGCCCATTGAACTCTATACAGAGAGCTTGTGATTGGACTTAGTATCAAACACACAGTTCATAAAGCTTTGAATATGTATTTTTCCTCTAAAAGCTGGAGCTTTTCATGCATCTAGCATTCAGTGAACTGTACTTAATCTTCTGGCTTTTCTGGTCTGGGTGTGATATCTCTAGCTTGTTTGCAAAGAAGATAGATGCACTCACTTAAACCTGTTGTATCTTTCAGCTTGAAAGATTTTTAAACAATATCCATCTGAAATTGTTTCAGGGCTCTAGTCATTGGCAAGACCGCAGAAGGTCAATCTTGCAGCTTTATTTTAACTTTATAGCTGGCACATCAGGACACAGCTGGTGGATTGCTGTATTTGAGGTTTCTCCATGTGAAGTCAAATTGAACACATAATGAAGAATTTGTTAATTTTATTGGTTGTTTTAAGAATTGCATGATTTGACTTCACAATATAAACTGTGAGATTGATTATAAAGTTAGGACTATGAAACTAAACATAAATCTAATAGGAAAAAGTGCAAGTTTCTTTTTGTGATGCTTTGACTATATTAATGGTGACTTAGATCAGGGAATCATCAGATGCATGTTTGCCTGTGTAACTTTTCAAGACCCCTCTCCACCCCCTTTTTTCCAGAATTGTTATTTAACAATTTTTTTCTTTCACATCATGAATATCGGTACTTGTGAGAGGTTGGTGTCTAGAATGACAAAGCTAAGATGCATAGCAGAAGATCAACTCTGATATTGTTTAACTTTTAATGTATCTATTACAAACATGTTGGAATAATCCTCTTATCTAAGGCTGCTTTTAATTCACTCTTCAATGTACATTTCAGATTGCCTTATAACTTAGAACTATGTCTTTACTTTCTACTAAGATTCCCCACAGGAAATGCGATGTCATTTTTTTTAGGTGATGAAAACCAAAGCATGTACATGACATCAAACAAATTTACTCTGTGACCCATAATCTCTTTAACAGAACGACTGTACCTGCATAGAGTAATTATATCACCAAGAACAATGGCTTCATATAAAGAAAGCTTTTGCAAAAGATGCCATGGATCACAGATACGTGTTTTGTAAACTTAAGTTTCTGGCCAAGTAGGCAATGAGAATTTTGTGAGCAGCAGATCAGACTTTTTGGAGTTTCTTGCAATATGAAAACCTAGGATTGTAGTCCTGTGAGCACCTTAGCATACACATAATCTTCCTGCACGTGACCTCACTTGTTGGACTACTTGCAGGAAGGAAGGAACATCTGTGCCTAAAAGGAGGCAATGGTGACGCTATATATCTGTAGTTCTTGTCTGATCTCCTGTTAACTTTGCCAGTATTACTAAAATGAAATTGATTTTTAAAATGGAGCTTTGGACATGGTCAAAATACATGGTTTTACAAACTGTGGTTTCTAATGACAGCCACGTATGAATGTATTTTGCTGTGCATAAGATCAGCCTTTGTCTTGCTTTTCATGAAGCAGCCTGAGATAGGTTACTGCAATAACTGAAGAGTGAATAAAGAGTCTCTATCAGTACAGAATTGCCAGAACTGCTGTATTTTTAAAGCTTGTCAGAAATAAAGTGCATATTTCAGACTTGTACTGTACCTCTTTTGTCACAGAATCATAGAATCACAGAATTGTTTAGGTTGGAAGGGACCTCTGGAGATCATCTAGTCCAACCTCCCTGCTCAAGCAGGGACCTCTAGAGCATATTGCCCAGGATCACATCCAGGCGGGTTTTGAATCTCTCCAGCGAAGGAGACTCCACTACCTCTCTGGGCAACCTGTGCCGGTGCTCTGTCACCCTCACAGTGAAGAAGTTTTTTCTCATGCTCAGATGGAACTGCCTGTGGTTCTGTTTGTGCCCGTTGCCTCTTGTCCTGTTGCTGGGCACCACGGAGAAGAGACTGGCCCCATCCTCTCCACACCCCCCATTCAGATACTTGTACACGTTGATGAGATCGCCTCTCAGTCTTCTCTTCTCCAGGCTAAACAGGCCCAGCTCTCGCAGCCTTTCCTCATAGGAGAGATGCTCCAGTCCCCTCCTCATCCTTGGAGCCCTCCGCTGGACTCTCTCCAGGAGTGCCACGTCTCTCTTGTACTGGGGAGCCCAGAACTGGACACAGTGCTCCAGGTGAGGCCTCCCCAGGGCTGAGGAGAGGGGCAGGATCACCTCCCTCCACCTGCTGGCAACACTCTGCCTAATGCACCCCAGCATACCCTTGGCCTTCTTGGCCACAAGGGCACATTGGCTGCCTCCTGCTTAACTTGCTGTCCACCAGCACTCCCAGGTCCTTCTCGGCAGAGCT